GGTGCTGGGATTGCACACTGTGCAATCCCAAATGCCAGTTTTCTCAGACCTAGATTGGAAATCTCTAAACCAGTGTTCAATTCATGAGTACATAAATTTGCTGTCTTATAAATACCGCAAGATGCATCAGACAGATATTAATTAATTAATCATTTGTCATACAAATGCTTATAATTTGACAATGGTTTCCTGCATTCTGTTGTTCTACACCACACTATTTGTGACATTTTAAATTTAAAATCACAACAAAGAGCTCTTCTAGCTTGGATGAGAATATTTCATTACAGCTGAGAAAAATATTTTACTTGGTCTTTTGACATACTTATTCTTACATTTTTCTGTCTAGAGGAACTATTTGAACTGGTTAGTCAATGGATATGGCATGCCACTTAGGTACATCTGAACTAAGTCCAATAAGCTGTTTTACACCACACAAACCTTTCAGAAAGATGTTCCATCCTGATTCGAAAGCATCAGAAAACAGAGACAGCACAACTGTCTTTGCTAACTTCTTCCAGTGCTTAACTAGCCTCATTACTAATAATTTGGAATTTATTTCTAATTTTAATTTATCTGGTTTTAATTTTTGTACTGCTGTTGTTATATTTTTGCTTGCTGGCACACGGAACCATTTAGTTCCTAGCATTGCTCTTTGAAGCAACTTATTGACTATAATCAAGCTACCTTTTAACATTTATATTTCCTTTACATTTATATGCAAATACATATGCTTATCTTCAAAAGGAGAATGCCAAAGAGAGCTCTCCAGACTACAAATCCTGAAATTCGCTAACTGGCACTAATAAATTCTAAAGGTGTTTAAAAAAAAAAAAAAAAGAAAGAAAAAAAGAAAGAGTGAGATCCGTAATGATATTGAACAAGATTGAGGCAAGGCCAAGAATGAGCAAAAACTAGGTGGATATGATTTTCTGAAATTATAATCTTAGACTGGTGCCTAAACACAGATTAAGGAGGTGGATTTAAAAAAAAAAAAAATCAATGCTTTAATGTAATTAATACTTCTAACTTGTTTGGGTGTTTCTGAAATTCCACACCCACACAAGATTAAGGCATCCATTTTTAAGCTATTGACTTGAAGCAATGAAGAAACAGTATTACTAAATAAGTAAAGACACAGTTTTCCACTGCCCCTTATCCATCAACTAGGAAAGATGTTTAGATCTAAGAAAGAAATTGCTAACAATTTACTGGAAAATCAGGGCAATAAGAACCCTGTACATCACATGGAAAATGAAATACTTTGTTCGTTTCATGTAGAAAAAAATGAGACTGGTCAGAGACACTCTGACTCTCTGTATCTGGTTGGAGGAGATATCTCAGCAATTCAGAAAGGTTGAAATCTTATGTAAACTTTATCCTTCCTAGAACTGCTTAAGATATTAAATTACTTTTCTCTCTGCTTTCTGAATATTCCATCCATTCTACTTTAATTTTCTATACGTACAGAAACTGAAGATCATATAGTTTCTATTTTGTGGCAAAAATTTCTAAGTTAAATACAAAAGTATAATATTATTCAATCTATACATTTACAACCCTATAATAAAGCACATGATAAAACATTTACATGGGTTAGTCATGGCAAAACACATGGGTAGTCTTCATAGATTAATAAAAACATAATGAAAATATAATTTATATTGTCAAAAAATCTCAAAGATGCTAAAAGGTCTTTCAAGTCTTTCATTTTAAAATCAGTAAGTGGTAATGTTGTAAATAAGGTAAAGAGCACTTCACAGATTATTGATATTTACTCATCTAAACGGAATTCTTCCTAACAATTTGATTTATAAATCAGTAATGTATGTAATTTTCCTGGGTAATAAGCACCTACTGAGTAATACGGGTTTTAATGGTGCTTTGCTTTACAGACTTTGAGAAGCTTGGCAATAATAGAAGACCTGAAAACAAAACAAAAAAACAGGAAAAAAACCACTCTTAAGCCACATCTACTTTGTGGTCACAGAAGTGACTTCTATGTAGTGTAGAGGTATTTTAAATTGCATAGCCTGGAAAATTGTAACTGTCTAGCTATTGCTGTTTGGCTTAATTTAGTCCACTCTTTACTTTTATTTCTTTGTCAGCAATATAGACATGTACCAGAGACTTCTGGTCCATTCCATCTTTTTATTTTCTTTCTTTTTTCCTTCTCTGCTCTTATTCCCCCCAAACTAGAAAGCTCAGGGTAAAGTTAGGCACCAAAGAATGCAAACTTAAAACAGAAATTTGGTGACACTTGGTGACCCCAAGATGAATGCTGGTTGATGCCCACTTGTTATGTCAGTAGTGTCTAAATATTTCATAATTAAAAAGCTTACACAGATATATAATATCTATTAATATCTCTTCTCTCGTACAATGTTTTAGTTAAGGTCTGCAGGTGTACCATTATCACTTCAATCACTGTCTGAAGACACTTCTGGGGTATGACTAGGGGTATAAGTGTGATATTTAGCTGATGAATTCCATCCAAGAGTCTGAAAGTCTTGATTAAGAAAATGAATCAAATATCTGGGTGAATTCTTTTTTTTTTTTTTTCCACTTAAAAATAGTTTAACTACTAGTAGAGGATTTAAGTCATGGGTGAAGCTGGAATCAGAGTCTCTGTCTTGAGAGGAAAATCAGTACAACTGAAGATAAGGAAGAAACAATGATTCTGTGCTATATAAGTTTTTGAATCTTCTGAAAAAATAACCTCAATTCTCAAAACTTTGGCAAATTGATAATCTGGAAAAAGAATTATAAATCTGATCAAGGAATGCTTTACATCAATAATTTTAATTTTAATCCCTTTTTATATACATTTTTCAACATTTCAAAATGAAAAGTCAATTTGAACTGAAAAATGAAACTTCACATTTAGAAATTTTGAAACAGGATATTTCAATAATTTAAATTTTTTTTTCCATAATATATTTCTAATGAGAATTTTCAAAACCCATGCTTCGTCACAAACAGTGATACTCTTGTTTATTAATATTTCAAGTAAAACATTTCATTGAAAAATTCCCGATCAAGTCAAATGGCAATATACGCTATCTTCACGACAGATAGAAAACTATATCAAAACTCAACAGTTGTTTACTTAAATACTCATCAGAATTTCCTTGCTTGGTGTTGTTCTTTGGCTTTTATAGGCATTATTGCTCCTGTTGTTTATCACTAATAATATTGGAAACAAATGCAGTTTACCTTTTTGCTGGAAGACAGAAAAATCTTTGGAATTTATTTCTCTGCAGTGGGAATAGTCAAACTACAAATCAGATTATTTCTGCTGGTACATTACTGACTGTTTTCATAAGAGTTATGCTTACTCATCTGGCGTGTATCTGCAGGAGCTAGAAACTCCAAAACATACAAGGGAATCTTGATTCCCTTATTTTTATTTCTGCAGGAATTTAAGAAACCTGCAGCATGTGAAATCTTCAAGTCAACTCACGAATGGGGGTCTCCACAACTGCTGTTTTCCTTAATAAGCGTACACTTCAAGGGATGACTTTGCCTTAGGTTTCATCACAGTTTCTCTATCTAATTTGCTGTATGGATAACCTGTGTCTACCTCATGTATATTCTTTCCAGATTCTAAGCAAAGGACTAATACCTTCCCCCCATTACCTTTTTGTACTTTTTTGGTTCACCTAATTTCTCTTCATAACCAACTTGAGACACCACTATCACAAAGAAGGGGATTTCTCTCTTATGGACAGCAAGCAGCAGCATGTTTTCTCCAGTTTGTCGTTCCTATTTATAGGCCATTACCTACTTGTATTTAAAAATCGCTTTTCTGTTTTACCTTTAATTAACTTCTGCTTCAAGACGTCTCCTTCTAAGAGTGCAAATCCTTAAAATGCAGTAAGAATCTTCAAATAACAGTGGATATTCTGTAGGCTTTTTTTCAGGCTCTGCTACTTTATGGGCAATGGGTATAATGTTACAGGAGGACAGTGAGACTCTCTTATTTCTTCCTCAAGTTTTACTTATTAAATTACACATATATATATGTATGCTGGACATATTCTTCATACAAATATAGGGGGAAAAGAGCTGGCAGCATAATTTATTTTAGAGTGAGATATTAACTTTTTAAAAGAAAGCTTTCAATAGAATTGAAAGCCAGGGATGTAATGGCAAATGTGTATTTTCATGGAGACATATTGTTGTATTTTAGTTCGATGTATAATGACTAATAAAACCATAATTTTATGGAATTGATATTTTCAATATATACTGAAATAAAAATATACATTTTTATCATTTTTCTTTTGAAGCTCAAAATTTAGGAAATGTTAGGTTAAAACCATAAAAATAATGAATCAGTTATGCCATCAATCATAAAACTAAAGAATTCGAAGCTATTCCTTTTCATGTGCAAAATATTGTTTCCGTTTCAATGTATGGCATAAGCTGAAGCTTCTATAAAAATAGTTATAGTAAAATACAGCATAAATCTATAATTACATTTAATCAGTTAGAAAGATGCATCCAACACTTAGACACTGTAAAATTATTTAGAATCTGTCAGTTTTACCTCAGGTACTGCTGAAGTAACGCAAAGTATGATGTAATAGTCTTTTGTAAGCTGAATGGCTTATTTGCTCTCATCTACACAAAGCCCTGTAAATAAACCTACAGGTTGTTAGTACTTAACTCAGCATCCACAATGCTCATTTTAGCTCTTCCATATTAATGCATTATGCACAGAGTACTTTAAATAACCATTAGCAACCAGAGGCATTTTAAGCAATGTAAGGAAGAGTTAGAGAAAATAGTTTTGACTTCCTGTGTAAAACCCTTCTTAGAATTCCCTCGGCTGAATGTACAAACCCCTCTGAAGGAACGGAAAAGTCTTTAGTGGATTGTCTTGGAACAGATCAGCAAAGCACAATTTGGTATCTAATATAAGGTGCTCCCTGGGCCATAGGTGTAGTAAAGCATCATGCAGGGTATGAAGTCACACTATCATTTTCATCTTTCTTCTTTCAGTTGGCAGTCACACTGGCTTCCTTTTGACGTAGTCTTTCTTTCTGTTAAAGAAAAAGAAAGAGTTTTATTATCATTCTTGTCTCTAGTTTTCCATCTCCTCTCAAGTTGCCACCAACATTTGGCCTAGAAGTCTGAGAAGTCACAGCAGATTAGAGTTTTCTTTAATTAAAAAAAATTTAATGCCTGGAGGACTCAAGGAAGGCTCAGAACCAGTCCATTACTTACTGTAGAGAAACTGAGCTTGCTTTAACTACACACTTGTCAAATACTGTATACCTTTAAAAATACGCAGCTCTGTGAAGACCAGTACAGCTAGAGAAAACCAGAGACATTTCAAATTCATGTGAATCCAACACCTTCTCTTGTCTGGAATGGTTTCTGCTGACACAGAGGCTCTAATTTAGCATTAGCTAGATTATGTTAATAACCTCTTCCCAAGCAAGTGCAGTCATTCATATCTCTGCTGCCTGTCCTGCAACTGATACGCTTTGCTGGGAATGGAAATAACATGCGGATTCCTGCACGCACATTTCCTTCCCTTAGTCTCTTGCTTCCTACAGTTTGAGAAATGCTGATCTAACCTGTGTGCCTTGCACACAGACTAAAAAAGCTTTCATCTACAGTCTAAATTATTAGTCCTCTTTTTGTGTCATATCAAAAAACCTGGGAAACAGCAAGGAATAAAATGGGGATTTAATCCCTTCTACCATTATTCAACAGAGCAAATAAGATTTTGTAATCTTTTGAAAAAAAAAACCCACCCTCAGCCATTGGACAAATATATGCAGTGAGCCTCGATGCACTACGGAACATGGAAGAAAATACACGAGACTTCAGTGGAACGGGGGAAGAAACCAGAAGAGCAGCTCTTAGAGTATTTTCAGAGTCATGCTGAACGAAGTCTTAAACTTAGCTGTTGGACTACTGTAGGGCATAAGCTTAAAGGTTTCCCCTTATGAAGAAAATCATTCTGCCACATTCAAACTAAGCACACTACGTCACCCTTCAGCAACAGCAGAAACCCACCAGCAACAGCAGAAACCCACCATCACTCTGAATGACAAGAATAGAGTCACAAAACCATTCTGAATGCCATACTGAGAAACGCATCATACCAGGCTAGCTGTAGGATTGATTTTCTTCGTTTCAACTTTCTTCTCTGCAGTTAACTTGCTTACTGATTGCTGAGCCACTTTAATTCTGGAACAAAATACATAGAAAATACATTGTTAGATTCACAGAAATTAAAGCTATTCTGGCCCTGCTTGGTATATACTCCATCTGTAAGAACCATCACCACTAACGTTTTTAGGTACATTAGCCCAACAAACTGTTATTACTATTCAGAAGCACTTAATATAGGCACCAGAAGTAGATCAGAGTACATTCTTAGAGAAAAGCAAAAGCAAAAGGATAGTCTGCCTGTATTGCTTGCTGAAAATGTCACCAGGCAAAAAATTTCTCTGTTCTTGCAGGATCTTGGTTTTGTGGAGTATCTTTCCCACCAAAAAAGCTGCAGTGTCAAGGCAAGAAGATACTCCTCTGAAAAAAAACCCCAAAAGCTAGCTGGCTCAATCTGTTGTATACATAGAATATACTATTTTAGTAGGCCATTTGCCAGGCTACACACTATATTTCCTCTGAAAACATTGACATGAAACCATCTGCCAGTTTTTCCTTCATGTTTTCCCCATTGCTTTACATGGAATTGCCTGACCAGCCTCATTGATGTGGTGATAGGAGGGGAGGCAAATAGAAGGGGTTCTGGTCTAGGGGTAGTTAAAGCTGTTGTGTGTGCAGCTACGGACCAGATCTGATTGTTCGGTTTCTTGCCTTTTGCTCTTAGGGTCTTGCATACAGAACCCTTGTTTCTGTGGGGATTTAACAAGAAGAACTCAATAAGAAGTTTGAGCAAAAGGAGAAATAGAGAATTTAACAAAAAAGGGATTTAACTCTCGTCTTACAGACAGCGGAAAGGGCAGGGGAACTTATGTGCCAAGCAGTGACAAAAAGGCAAGAAAATTCTTGGCACTCCTAATACAGGATCTGCCCAGCTATCAGTGCCCTTAAAATGCTGATGCCATAAACACCTACTTTACAATTCTACATGCAAAATGCAGAGGGAATGAAGTTGTGAGTGAATTTTTACAAGCAAGGAGAACTCAGTAAACCAATTTTCACTAATGCACACCGAATCAGTCTTTTACTATAAACAACACATTTCTTGGCACTCTTCAACTGAAAAATTCTATTTTCTTCTCCTATTTAATTTTTTCCACTGGCAGAAATAATTGCTATGGCCAGTCAAAAAGTATTTAAAATACCATGTCCAGTTCAAACCACTTTCGACACACTCAATTTTTGAGGAATTTTGGAAGAAAAGCAGAAAGGAAAGTGGATTATAGCTGCAATTACTGATGTGTACTTCCTTGCTGTAACACTAGCAGCAAACTAGATTCTTTTAAAAATATAGAACACATTCATAACTTCATTATTGTGTTTATCAACACTCAGTGTTGGAAACTAAAATGCCTTCTCTGAGCTACGTATTTTAGAAGCATCTGCTGGGTAGTTATTGGTGTTGTCTCACTTCCCCGTGCTTAAGAACAGGAGGAAAGAGTTACACTACTTTCAAGTAAACTTATTTTCAACACTGTTTAGCTACAACATTGATTCAAGCTGTAAGTACACCCTAAAATACACAAATATGAAATTATTGTTGTGTACATGTTAAAATACATCTGAAGTCTTTTTAAAACTTAATTGGTGTTCCCTGTTTCTACAGGTAAACAACGAAGTGGCAACGCACCATTCCATCATTTTACAATTTTTTGTTAATCAGCACAGTTTACTTATTAATGATGGATGACAGCAGCCACTGGACAGCATCCTATTCCTCACAGCTACAAAGTTTATGCAAAGATGATGATGTATTTCAAGTGACAGTATTCAGGTTCAGCAGAATCACACTGAGGGATGAACTTCTAAACTATTCCCTATTTTGAGCACATTTTCTTCTCAATCACATTTGCTTTGGTCCTAGCAGTGTTTTCCAAATAGTTTTTAAATGTTTAGAGTATGTATTTTCATCTGAAGGGAGAATTCTAGGGATTATAAGCTTTTAGACTTATGCCTGTCACTGATTTAGGCCTAGCTCTGTGTATTCTATTCCATATTTGCACAATTTCCAGGAAACCTGGATTTTTTAAAGTAGAATGCGTAGTTTGGAATAAAAAAAAACAAAACAAAAAACAACTGGCTCACTAACATGATTTGAATCATGTGATATTTGGCTCATAAAAATGACAGACTAATTACATATTATACTTTGGTCTCCTAGGGAAAAAAGCCATCAATTTGCTAAGATATGAATGATAACTTTAGCAGGCATTATCAGAAACGTAAGTGCATAATTTAAAAGAAATAGAATTCTTCGGGAATTTTTAAAATCAGATGGTTTGATTTTAAGAAAGTAGTTAGCTCATTGATTATATTAGTGAAGCACCCATGCTGTAGAGGTGCCCTATAGATACAAATAATTCTTTGTTAAACGTGGACAGGATACTAGAACTGACTATTGTGTTTGGAAGCACTATCCTTGAAATGAGAAAAATGAAACAGTATGAAAACTATCAAATTCAAAATCATAAAACTGGCTAACAGCAGAAGTCTAATCTTCATACTTTTTTCCATTATTTTACTTTCATTTAAAAAACCCTGGATACGAATACATGATTTTAATTGTCCATTAAAAGCTATGACAGCCTTCCATCAAAACTTATGAACACACAATATTCTTTACCGCATCTGAAGTTGAATGCATGCACAACATTTGACTAAGTCTGTTACTGAAGCAGGTAAGCAAACAAATCACACACTTAAAGAATTACTAGCTAGAGACTAGACAAACTCTGTTAGTTCAACTTAGGTATGCCTCCTCTCTGTTCTCTCTCTTTTTTTCTACCACCTTTCCTTAGCACAAATAGAAATATTTTCCCATCTGTACAAATCATGTACCAGCATAATTTTTTTGAAAAGCTTTTAATTAAAATGCTAAAAATTAGAAGCATATTAAAATTAGAACTAAAATTAGAGACCAATAAGGTACAGAAAGAACAAAACTACAAAGTACATTCAAAAGGAGAGAACTAAACTACTAATTATTTTCTGATCTTTTCTTAGACCCATATATTATGTTATTAACCAATCTGCAGATATACTACACAACATGCTATTATTTTTAATTAACTTAAAACAAACTAATAAATGTATTATAAAGTTAAGGCATTAATTGTAGTCTATGAGAATTTATATAGATGTAAATTGTTTAACTTCTTCTTATAAAAGTATAAACTTCCTTAGCTACTCTTAATTGTTCAGCAATTACTTGTTCAAAGTCTGTTTGAAGTAAAACAAAAGCTAAGTGACAGAATGACAAAATGTAAGATAAATAAATATTCTGTCAAATTTCCTTTCTTCCTTGTGAGTAACTGCAGTTATACTAGATGATAATGAAGATGGCAAATTTTAACATTTATACTTTATAGAAATTACGTGGAATAGAAAAGAATTTGAGGGAGTATGGGAAATCCACTTAAGTCTTGTGTTCGGTGTGAGGGCCAGCAAAACATCCAAAGAGGACTTTGAAAAACATTACTAAAACATTTGCTGTAGATTTACTAGACTATGTAGTGTCTTAGTGACACTGCTTAGGGGGTGAGATTCACAAAGTATGGGCTTAAAATGTTTACTCACTTCATCTTGTCACTTAAGCTTGTTCGTTACTGAAGTGTTACATGAGACACCAAATAGAAGTTGGGAGAGGATGCAGAACCTTACATATTAAAAGGGCTCCTTAGAGAGGCAGGGAAATCACTAAGATGGTACAATAACCAGCTGGAAAGATAATAGGGACTGTTAAGTTCTTCCACTTCAGGAAGTTCAATTAATATTTATTCTGACAAGAATCTCCTCAGAAGCCTTATCCTCAAGAAACAGTAGCAGAATCAAACTCTGAAATAGAGCTCCACAATGTACAACTTGCAGACGTAGGCTGAACAACATGAACTAAGCATCCCACTGAGCACTCTACACCCCCTTCTTCTGAGCTTTTGTCATGTGAATTAATGCACAGGGGAGCAGCTCACGTGAACTGGGTGTTTACAGAGGCATGACCATGAAGGGGAGTTTGGAGATGTGCAAAGGAATGGACTCGATGAAAAGATTTTTTTCTTTCTTCCTATACCAGTATAAAATAGCATGGATGGACACACTAGTCTAGCCATGTTTTAGAGATTTTGTGAAATAGAAATTGGGATTGAATCTAATAGATGTGAAGGAGATGTGGAGGAAGAAAGGGGAATAGAAAAGACAATAGAAGTATATCTAAAACAGAAAAGCAAGAAGGGATAGAAAAGTGTAGTAAAACACGCTAGAAAAATAGTGATAAGGACACTTTTGAACAGAGAGCACTGCAGACCAGAGACCAGAAAGGATGGTAGAATATCTGAATCACAACCGAGAGAGAAAAGGTGTGCAGGTGCTAATTTGGCAAGCAATAACATGAGGCCAAAACATTAAGTAATGCAGGTCGGTAAAGCCTTGAGACCTGACCCACTGCAACAGGGATGTGTTCAAAAGAAAAGTTACTCTCCTTCAGCAGAGAGCAAAGGAGGTCAATACAATTTAATGAATAAAGAACATGTGGTGTATTGCACATTACCCCACAATATGGAAAACAAAATTGAATGAAATTATCAAACCAATGTATCTAAATAGGCGAACCATGACTCCAATACTGCATATGGGTCTTACTATAAGCAATGAATATAATTGGCTTTTTCCTGCCTCTATGTGGCGGGTGTTTGTCTTCCCCTGCAAACTGGGTGTAAGTCAGGCATCTTAAATTAGAAGATATTAGTGAAAATTAAAGATGTTATTTTTATTCAAAGTTATTATTTTGTAAATGGAGACACAGAAACTAAATCTAAACTTAACTCCATATTTATTAAAAGTTTCCTTCATAAGCTCATTCAAATAGCTTTCCTCCTTACAGGAAAAATATTCTCAAGCCAGGGACTAACCATATAAACTCATCATTTTCACCCCTGCTTCCCATTCAAGTCAGACAGAAGGCGTAAACTGGCATGCTCCGTGCTCAAAAGCCCCAGTCAGGGAAACCAGAATCTCTTCTAAACCAG